ACACACATACACACACACTGTTTGTATTACAGTTATATTATTGAGTAGGAAATTACATCTATCAGATCTATTACATGTAACTTGATGTTTGCTGAGTTCTCTCATATTGAAATTCTCACTTCATTAGAGTGAAACGTGTCACTCTTTTTAAAATTGAAGAATAAATTCAAATGAAGAGTGAATGACTTCACAGTTTAAAAAAAATTAAATTTCACTCCACTTCAACTGGCAGTATTTTCATTATTATTATACTTGGAGTGACTTTTTACTACAAAAGAGTGAGGTTCCACTCCAAAAAATTTGAAGAGCAGTATATATCGAAACGCGTCACTATTATCGAACACTTTTTGCGTTTACAAAGATTGCGTTCAGCGGACAAACTAACTTTGCAAGTGCAAGATCCTTTAATTATGACTGGTTATATATTTAAATCCAGTGAAGAATTAACGGCAAGAACCAATCATATTAAAGATACTACAACAGTAGGAAAGCTATTTTTTCTGCTGAACATAGCGAAAAAGTACTGAGCGAGCATCATCACACATATTGTCACATTAGCGATGATAACGTGTTATTAATATATCGAAAAGAGAGCAACATAATTCTTAATTAACCCTTCGATGCAACACGAGAACGATACATTTGGAAAGTGTACCGAACTCAATTCAATTACTAATAACTTTCATAAAAATAAACGTATTGTAAAAAATGTTTTCCCAATTGAAACGCCAGACAGATGAGAAATATAATGGTACCATGCAAAAATGTATCTTTATTAATAAAAAAGTTATGAGCAATAGAAAACGTATTGGAGAAAAAAAGAGTCGGGTATGATATATCCAGAGTGATACCGAAAGGTTAATAATTCTTAATTATTTATTACGTGTAATTCACTATTTAAGAAACTCGACGGAAAGGTCTCGACGAGAGACATCGAATTATAAGACAAACTTCATTGCGCGATCTTTTTAAACTTCTACTTGAAAGCGTAAAACGAGGAAGCTTCTCCGAAGCGCGTAAAGAAGCGCGATTGCACTCGTAACTCGTAATGAACAGAAGAAAAAAATAAAAAGGACGAAGAAACCGGGTAAGAAAAAAAGTGAACTATATCGGGCGATAGAGGAGCGTGTTTCTCACGATTTCGCGACGTTTACGCGCGCTGACTTGATTGCTCGGCGACGACGCGCATTATAATCCAATTTCCGACGTTGCAATCTTTTGTTTCGAGTTTCTGCCAAGTTTGCCGCGTAGCAGACCACCGCATTCGTTTCCGTCCGGCGACGACGCTCCCTTTTACAGCTTACCGTCGTGAAAGTAGTACGAGACCTCCATATACTCCTCGTCGGTAGGGCTGTTGGAGGCGCGTGTTAAAACCACCGTCATGTCCCGACCATTGGAAGAGTACCTCTTCGGCTCAGCGTACCTGGAAAAAAGGAATGGAAAAAGGAAACGTCATTTGCGCGTTCGGCTCGGGGTGAATTCGTAGCGAGGGATGGTTTTCCCACGATCCTTTCGCGAGAGCGGCTCGTAGTTTTTCAGGGTCGAAGCTGGGATATAAATCGAACTCGCCGACGAGCAAGCGCCGTCGAAGGTAGAAACGAACGACTGTTTTAATCTTCACACTGTCGGTCGCTATAGACGACGTTGAAACGTTGGCGCCTAGGCACTTAACATCTTACTCCAAAGTGTAGGTTATAGATATAGAAACTGAACTTGAACGCTGAGACTTCAACTTGAGTGTACAAGGAAGATCGCTTTATAATTATTAATTTTACGGAGTTGACGGTCTATGGATTCGCTTAATTAGAAATCCCTTAAAAATATCGAACAATTCAATTTTGTTTTATGTTATACTATAAAAATTTGAATTAGTCTTATTAACATATATTTAGGATATATTCTTTTTTTTATGCAAATTATATCATTTTGTTTCCTTCATGGAAAGAAAAGTTTTGATTAAACTACAATAACAAAAAGGATCAACAAGACTGGTACTTATGATAACTAAAAATTCTGTTTGGTTTTATTATAATATCACTCTTATTGGGCTTTTTTGTTAATTTAATCAGAACGTTTTTCTCAGTGTTCTAATTAATTGGTACTCTTTTTAATTAACTTTAATTAAATATTCTTTCTTACACCCAGCGTCAGTAAACTACACTGTTAGATATCAACGGAGCAATCCTTTGAATTAAAAATAACATTTTATTATTTTTAATTTTTATATGTGTCAAAATATAAATAAATTCACTTTTGTGATTAGTTTCAAATAAACAACATCTATATCAATGTGTGCACTTAATAAGTAATAAACTAAACTACTTTTAATTGAAATTTAATAAGTTTTCTTCAGTTAAATTTTTTTTGTTTAACTCCATTGTCAATTATATTAACATATTGAGTAATAGCAGCCAAGAAATGATCAAGAATAACTCAAATTGGGTACAATATGACATACGAATTTAACAGTGTGTGTTATAGATTTTAGAGTCAGCTTCGGAGAGTCAAGAGACTCTATAAATAAATTGAACGTAAAATAAAGACGCAGCAATAATTCTGCATCCCGGAACTTTATCTCGGGACACACATGAAATTTATCTCATTGTGAACGATCTTCGTTAAAATAGCGGAATAGCTTTGCATCACAACCGCGCAATCAATACGAAGGAACGACAGTGACGTCCGCCGGGGTCGTACTATGAATAATGATCGATCCGATTTCCGTTTATGTATGTTACAACGCGCGTATATATGTATATACGTGCGCCAGGATGCGGGATTTGTGACACTTTTCATCGAGGACATTCGGGCCATGCGGAAACTTCGACGCGAATTATTAATTCACGATCATTATGACGAAGGGCGCACCAGAGAGCATGACGCGCATGGGTGCGAAAGGGTGCTCCGCAGAAAGTTATATCGGCGTCGGGACAAAGCAGGATGTAAATCTTACACGTAAGACTCTATTTTCTCTGGGCAAAGTTGTAAATGGACGTCTTGGGAACCGCCCTCGATAGTCGGCGCGCGCGAGAATTGCCTATGAGTTAGTTTTGCAAGATAAATCGAGCACCCTTTCCGCCCTCGCCTCCTCCTCGACGCCACCCCGTCGATGCTGTCGCCCTACGGCCCTACGAAAGGAGGATCGCCCTTTGTCGCTCGAATGAGCGTCAGAATTACGTCATCAATTTTCTAACAGTAACCTTCCCGCGCGAACAATATCGCGTCAACCGCTCGAAGTCGATGACGTTCAACATCTCTTTGGGCAAGTTTATCGAGGTCTCCATCAAAAGTGGGTCACAACTTTTTGTTTAAAACATTTATTTCGAGAAAGAAAAAAAATGTAGCATGTTTCATTTGACGTTTTAGAATTTGATTAAAATTTTGCAATATGATTGAAGTAAATTAAAATAGACATGCACGGTAAATTGTTATTAAATAGAATGGAAATAGAAAAACACGATGACTTGTCCAAGTTTAAAAAAAGAAAATCTTTAATTTTCAGCGCA